TTGGAGGAAGCGAGAGCACAGAATTGTGTGAATTAGTGGATGGGTCATATGAAGTGGGGTTGAGAGAGAGAGAAAAAGAGATGCGGCACTGGAAGGTGGAGCACAAAATAGGGTCGAGAAGTGATGTCAGAACGGTTGAACAGAAAATTGGTCAAAGAGATTGCCTTCACTTCTCCCTTTGACAAGTTGTAATTCTGTGTTTATGATGACGCCTCTCATCCAGAGATACAGTCAAAACTTTGGGAAATGTACCCAGTTCATGGTCCAATGCTGGAAATCACAAATACTTTGGCAGAGGACACGGGACTAGGTTCGTTCCACAAGCTTTCCCTGATGTTTCGACCAAGTTGCGAAAACAAGGTCGGACCAACAACATTATAAAGCTAAAGGAGACTGAAATCAAAAAGAAGAACACGCCATTTTGATTTGCATAGCTACGATCTATGGATAACCTAGTCTAGTGCCTAAGCAAACTCGGAGAAAACAAGAATACAGCAAGACAAGCATAAAGGCGACGCCTGGATCAAGGATCTATCGCTAACCGAAAAAAAAGGGATCGCGATGAAAAAAGAGGGCGGTGAAGGCGGGGATTTTCGGTGGTCAATGAGTGATTTCTGTTGGAATGAATCAGTACAACTTTAGCGACCTGGCAGTCAGGGATCTGGGCAGACGGATAAGCAAACCGTCCCAGAAATTCGGCGTTATGTCCAAAATGTACCGGAAATCCAGTTGAGACGCCGCATGCGACCAGAGATAGGCGTCCACAGTTTGCTCCGATAGCATGGTTAGGAGGACCCTCATTTCGGATGAAAGTGCATGAAGAAAAGATTCGTTGTTTGATCTCACCAGATGAGGACAGATTAATCTCGTTGTACTGCAGCCGTTTGGCTTGTATACGATATTCATGTTGACTCAGTCCACGAGACTTCCTCCCTCGTTTCGGGTTGAAAACGTGCTGAGTTTTCGTCCATCATTCGATGGACATCATCAGAGCTGGGTGTCATTCTTGTAAAAGTCTCACGTTATCACTAAAGCAAGAACACTATCCGGTTCTAGCTTACTTCTTATATACACTCAATCGAGCCAAAAATTAAAATAACATGTGTTTAATGAAGGAGAGTATCCGTGAAGGGAAGACCTGATATCTGCAAGCATGGCAATCAGAGCTTAGGCGCTCCGCTCCCTGAAGCGGCAGTGTACGTGCTTCCAGGGCTTTGAGGAAGAGCGCCGGGAGCGAAATGCACTCTGGGACTGGAACCGAGTGAAATCGGTCAACCAGAAAGATAAGGTACAGGTCTACGAGACAATGAGGGGATCCGGATTGGAGGCCCGAGTGGGATGAGCCGATCGTAAGAGAGGGAGTCAGGGGTGAATAGGGGTGTGATGAGGTCACACTAAATGTAGCAAAAAAAGGGCAACATTTTGACGAGTGAAATGTAAACATGT